CGTAGTAGGATACTTTTATTTTCTACAAATGAACATAATACCAATGTACTTCAGAACCATAAATACATGGTTATTATGTTTTTATATTTTTATTTTTTTCTAAATTATTCATTGCTATTAAGTTGATATAATTGCCCATAGAAAAGAATAGCAGTGTACTTCTGAATCATAAATACAATGTTATTTTATTTTATTTTATTTGTATTGCTCTTCTAAATTATTGACTACTGTCAGTTTTTTATATTTGTATTGTTGTTCTAAATTATTGACTGCTATCAATTTGAAATGCTTGTCCCTACAAAAGAATAGTAGTGTACTTCTGAATCATAAATACAATGTTATTCTAATTTTTTATTTATATTCCTCTTCTAAATTATTTACTGCTGTCAATTTAACATATTTGCTATTTACTTACATCAACTTATTTTTTTATGTTTTTTTATTTTCTATATTTTTGTTTTTGTTAAATATATGCAGATGTGTAACAACCCAATTTTGAAAAGAAAATTTTCGTTTTTCATTAACTAAACACATGTCCATAAATCACGAAAACCATATATAATTGTTTTCAAAACACATATCAATACAACTATTATTCTAAAACATCAATGTCCCCTAAAACGCCCGAGAGAGTGCATGCTTCGCCATCAAGCATTGCCCTTGCCCTTAGGCACCGATGTAGCTTAAACAAATCCACAACCTGTAAGAGAATACTTAGTGAGTCCCTCCGAGAGCATACCCCACACACAGCCCACATAACACATATCCTATTAGTTATAAAATCTACATATACCACATAAGCCATGCATACATAAACTTGTAAACATGTCGTGGGCTCCCCCAGGGTCTAATACCATCGTGCCATGAGCTACCCCAGATGGTCTTTACCTAGGAATGCCATTGGCTCCCCACATGGTCTTATATCCAACTACCACGGGTTCCCCCTGGTTCTTCCATTCAATAACATACATAATCAACTTAGCATATCATATCATAGAAGTATCTAACATACTGCATAACACATACATAAACCTTTAAGGATGTCGTGGGCTCCCCCAAGGTCATATACCAATCGTGCCATGGGCTACCCCACATGGTCTTTACCTAGGAATGCCTTGGGCGCCCCCACACGGTCTTATATCCAACTGCCACGGGCTCCTCCCAGGGTCTCCCACGTGAATATCATATAATAACTAGCATACCACTTAGCATAAAGCTAACTATCATACCACATATCTCTACAATAGCTAGTGTACCACATAACAAAAAATGGGTCGGCCTTGGTGCCTTAGACCCATTGGTATTGTGAGAAGACTCACCTTTTCTGCTAAATCTGAGAGCTGGTCTCCTAACAGTCTGTAACCGCCTGTGTTGAACACTGATAACATTACCCAAGGTTAGGGCTAAACACAATCCACTTGAAAAAGACCAAACCCTTAGTCCTTTCACAAAATCCCAAAAGGTCTTCCTTAGTTAGTGGGCCCAAAGTCCATATAAAAAATCACTAATGGGCCTCGTGGCCCAATAAAGCCCAATCATAACATCCATGGCCCAAAATAGAAAAATTGACCCACTAATCCCAAAACATGGCCAGGTCCAATGACTAATTGAGGTTTAAAAGCTCGAAGGCCCAAAATAAATCTAAGTCCAATTGTGTGTGCGTACGCCCGGTGTACCACGCTGGTACGCACAACGTACTGAGTCCTTGAGTAGTACGCGCGGCGTACACTAACTTACACCCGACATACAAAAAGATTAAACACTTCCTTCCATTAAGTGCTTAATACTCGATGTTCTAATGTCCAAAACCAGATCTGAGCTCATTCAGATATCCTAGGGGATAAAGTTCGCAACTTTATGCTCTTGCATCTATGGGACTTAAAATCTTCATTCTTCACAATATGACTTCATATAAGGTCCCAAACTATTGCATGGAGTCTAGATACTCTCCAAGCTATCATGTTTATGCATCTAGCATGCTCAAAAGGATAAGATCTAATCATTTCAACATCTGGAATTCCTTAACTCTCAAGAGAAGGTCCAAAACCAACAAAAGGGACCATAAAGAAAACCCTAACTAGATCTAAAGAATAAGAAGGCAATATCAAAGATTTATACCTCCAGAAGTTCTTCAAGATGAACTAGATATAGATTCTTGGAGCCCAATGCCACTCCAATCTTGCTTGACAACTTCTTCTTCTTGAATGAGCACTATAAAGCCACAAATGCACTCCTTAAGCTCAAAACACACTCTCAAATGGTATTAGGGTTTTTAGAGACGTTTGAAGGTGAAAGAGGATGATTAGGGAGAGGCTCAAATGAGATAAAGACGCTTATATAGGTCTCAAGTCTAGAATTTAGGGTTTGGACATCCGTCACGTACGCCCAGTGTACTCTTCGCACGCCCAATGTACGTGCTATCCCTCCGTAATCAATCATGCAAAGTACACTAAGTGTAACCATGAGTACGCCCATCATACTTAAGGGACTTATTATGTAATATTTCATAATTTTCAAGGGCTTCAAGGTAATACCTGATTTGGAGTGTTACAACACTCCCCCACTTAAACTAGACTTCTGCATCTCCTCCTCTGGCTCTCCTCCTCTGGCTCCCATGTCCATTTGGAGCCCCTTCGGTGCTGCCATTACACCTTTACCAGCGTCACTTCTTTGTTCTGAAGACCCTTGGTCTTCCTATTTATCAAGGTCCTAGCTTTCCCCTCCTTTAAAACCCGATGACCCCTTTCCAGGGTGACACTTTCAGTAACAAGAAATCCCCCACCTGGAACTCAAGATCCGATTGCCGCCGGTTAGCATAACTTTTTTGATGGCTCTGTGCGACTCGCAACTGGTCGCGCACCTGCTGAATCATCCCGGTAGTCTTGATCACTACCTCGGTGCTCCCCATGACCCGGTATCCAACCTCGCCACAACAAACCGGGGTCCTACATCTCCTACAATACAACATCTCGAATAGCGGTCGCTGATACTGGCATGGTAACTGTTGTTTTATGAAAACTCTGCCAACAGGAGGTATGTATCCCAACTATGACAACCCATTATTTCATTTGAATAAAACTCTAAAGTACAAGTGTGTTTATTCAACATATATGCAAGATTATGGAGAAACCATGTAGAAATAGAGTGGTATAACCTTCAGGAATAACATAAAATTTACATGTGGTGGAATCGAATGTATACTAGTTATAACATAAGGGATTAAACTTGAATAAATCAAAGTTAAAATGGAGTGGAATGGTGTTTATGGAATTAGGGTTGTCCAAACCGTAAACACATGTTTATGGGGGACAATCAAACGGTGAAGACCCATAAAGGGTGTAAACTCCAAAACGTGAGCACCTTAAAGGTGTAAACCAATCCGTAAACCCCTAAAGGCGAGAAATTCAAACCATAAACCCTTTTTCCATTGACTAAAATCCATAAACACCCTCTTCTAGAAGCATTGGACAGTGAACACACCCTTATATATATATATATATATGTATATGTATATATATATATATATATATATATATATATATGTGTGTGTGTGTGTGTGTAAGTCCCCAAAATTGCTTGTGTATCAATCAGATCCAATTAATGGTGCGGAATCCCAATCAATTGGATGATGTCAGATCAAATACAAGAGAAGAAGAAGAAGAATTAAGATGAATCTAATGATGTATTCAATAAATTAAGTGATGCTCCATTTACATAGATTCTCTCACACACACAATTCTTCTCTCTAGAACATGCTCCTCTCCTCTCTATCCGTACACTTATCACCCTATATACATGAGACATGGGCCACCAGCAGCACACGAGTGTGCACACGCGTGTGCGGCCGCACACACATGTGCAACCGTACATAGCCACAAAATTACAGAAAAATATATTTTTCTAGAAAAGCAAAGTATAAACCATATTTTTGACCAAACAATCTCCCCCTTGGTTTTGTAGCTTTCTTTTCTAGTTGATCCAAATAACTCCCCCTAAAATGTAGCTGGCTTTTCTTCTTAATCTTCATCGAGAGCTTGGCTTCAATATTAATCTTCAAATTCTTCACAACTTCAAGATGAACTTGATGAATCTTTAATGAATGACGTCATCTTGTGCAGTTGGGCTTTTCTTCAGAATTTGACATTGAATACACATTGGGTGAGGAGGCTTCTTGTACTAATTCTTGAAAGATAGCGCTTTTAGCTTGAGAATCTTCAGATAAAATATCAGAGAGAACTAATCTACTGGATCACTTCAGTAGGTTTATAGATAGTAGTAGATTGATTGAGGAGGCTTTAATGCAATCTGTCACATAATCTTCAAGTGCAGTTTGACCTTGCTTCTAGGGTTGAAGGATTGAATGTTTAAAGAATAATCTTCATTTTCTTGTTCCTTCGAATGAGAATTCTTCAATGATCACGGATGAAACGTTGGCTCAAAAATATCAATACAGTCTTCACGAGTCTCATCTACGTTTGAAATCACTTTTCAAGACAAAACAAAACTAAAAGAAAAATTAGCACACAAAAAATATTTTTGGATTTTTGATATTTTTTGAAAAAAATAAAAGAGAAATAACAATTTTTTTTCGATTTTTTTGTTTAATTTCTGAATTTTTTTTTATTTTTGTTTGATTTTTTTTATTTTTTTTTACATCAAGCATGCACAAATCTATTACTCATAAATGTCAGGTACACCTTGAAAAGTACACACACACGTCACTATTCATTTTTACTTACTGACAGACTGACAACACTTTAAATACTACCCACTCCAGCACACACATGAGTGCAGCCGCACACGACGTGTGCGGCCGTACACACGTGTGTAGCCGCATACACATGTGTGGCTACACACATACACAGTCTAATCCAATGCACCACTACACTACATACACTATCACTCTACCAAGATTGATACATAAAGAATGAATAGCCCAAACCACAAAAGTATAGTCTTTCAATCTCCCCCTTGGTTTGTGGCTAACATATGCTTGTTCTTTAATCTGTGGGCTTTTCAAACAACTTCAAATCGAACTTTCCCATGGAGCCCATCCAAACTCTTCCATTTATGATGGTGGCGACCATTCCAGTGACCTCTTTTGCATCCGCCTCCATGAAATCATTTTTACATATAATCTGGTGACGAGACAGAGTGCAGATATCCCTTTCCCTGAACCTTAGAAGATCTTTAGCACTTATCAGCCTTAAGAATTGTTCTCTATCCTTGAATTTTATGGCAGCAGTGGCAGTTTCATAGTCGTATGCCAAGATTTCCATATTGTCAAGGTATCCCTCATGAAAGTGTTGAGGGATAGGAATTTCCTTATGCTCTTTAGTTGCAGGCCAAAGGATAATCTTCATGGGCTCGCCTGATTCATGATCCAAAATTTCTTTATGTTTTCTATATAAGGCTCTTGCAGTCTTCATTCTTGGAAAGTTTTCCTTGACCTGTCTGTTAAGAAATATTTTGAAACTTGTTACGTTGGGAACTTCAGAGGGATTATGGAATGGAGCTCTCAAGAGTTCAGCAAGATCCACTTTAATCCATGAGTTAAAATCATGCATGCTTTTGTAATATTCTACTTTTGTAATATTCTGCTTTTGTAATATTCAGGAATTCCTAAGTTCCTTTTCACAACCCACATGTTTGACTCGGGATCAAATGCACACATTTTGATTCCAGATCTGTCACCGAACTCGTCACCAAATTTTCTCCTTTTGAGATCTGTCACAGTTAGCACAAGATCTTTGGCTTTGCGATTTTCATTCGAATTTTTCATAAAGAGTAATCCTTCGCTCTTGCTAACTGTGACAAACCTCATTCCTTGTCTGATTGTAATGCGGGCTCTGCTGCCTTCAGGTTCCTTTTCAAACTGATTAATAACAGTAGTTATTCTAGGAGGAGGTGGATCAACTGGAAAGTCGCGATGAGTAGATTGTGTGGGGGGCATGGGAGGATCTTCAATTTCGTGCAGCTGCTGAAACAAAGCTTTAACTTTATCACCGAAGGCATCATACAGAACGTCCTTCAAATTGAAGTAGAAAGCTGTCACAGAGCCAAGATTTGTCTGCAGATTCTTAATCTGTTTTGTCTTCACTTCATCTCTTTCTTTAAGCTCTTCTATATAAGAAGTGTGTTGTTCCAGTAGAATGTTCTTTTCAATAAGTTCCTTCCTGAGAATACCAATCTCTTCCCGAAGTTCTGACACTATAGACTTGTCATCACCTGAATGTTCTTCCCTAAAAGATATGCCTTTACCCTGAGAGGAAGGGGTTGGACTGTTTTGTGCAAGGTGCTTGGCCAATCTAATTGAGGCTTCATCCAGTGAGGGTCGTGTTGGAGAATACTCTGGAATAGAGGATAAACCACCTATCTCAAATATTGTGCTTGGGACTTCATCTGACTGTAGTGGTGGAGTGACAACAGTAGTAGTGGTAACAGTGGATAAGACTTGAGGTGCATGGCTGACCGTAGGCACTCCCAGACTTGTATTCAATTGACTTCTTTCCAAAGAAGACTGGGAGGTTTGGGGTTGTGATGATTCATTAACAAGCGGAGCAGAAGTATAGAAAGTTTAGGATTAGCCTGGGAGCGAGCACATTGACAGACCGCAAACATTATGTCTGGGCGACTAGCATTCAGATACATGAGCGAACCGATCATTGATCGATAGTACGTCTAATCTACGAACTCGCCTTCAATATCAGGAGCCAGTAAAGGTCTCTCCGCCATGGGTGTAAGAGCAGGTTTTGTATCTCGGAACCTAAACTTCTCCTGCACATCATCCACATACTTTACATGGTGAATAAGGATCGCAGTTGAAGACTGTTGGACCTGAAGCCCCAAAAACATGGTCATTTCCCCAAGCGAACTCATCTCGAACCACTTCATCATCACATCTTCGAACTCATTACAAAGCTGTTGGCTTGTCGACCCGAAAATAATGTCATCTACATAGATTTGAAAAAGAATTTGATTTGGACCGACATGTTTGATAAATAAGGTCTTATCAATGGTGCCTCGGGAATAGTCGTGGTTGAGCAAATGTTGAGTTAGGGTAGCATACCAAGCTCTTGGAGCTTGATGCAGTCCATACAAAGCTTTGTCTAACTTGTAAACATGGTTGGGAAGCTTTGAGTTAACGAAATCGGGAGGTTGGTCAACATAAATCTCTTCCTTGACCTTTCCATACATGAAAGCCCTCTTGACGTCCATTTGGTATATGGTAAAGCTCATATATGAAGCATATGCGAGGAAGATACGAATAGCCTCCAAGCACGCCACTGGAGCAATATCTCTCCAATCCTAGTCCTGCTTTTATATGATTTCCATGAGTAATATCTCTCCAGTGCATTTGTCCTTCAATCATTTTTGCAATAGTTTCACTTGACCCATCATATTTTTTAAAATTATATTCAGCATTTTCAAAACGTGTTTTCAATAAGTCAAGTTCAGCGGACAAAGCTTCAAATTTTCGTTTGATATGGTCATAGTTCTCACATTTGTAAGTCCCCAATTGTAAGTCATATTTCTTGTTTTGGTTTTAAGTTAAAGGGCAATTAAAAAAATTATTTAAAAAATATATATATATTTAATTTTTTGGATAGATCGGGGCAAAATAATGAGGGTTTCTTTGCATTTTTCATAAAAACGAGTTTTTGATCGAGTTTTGGAGAAAAAAAGGGTAAGAACGTCGTTTTTTTTTCCTAAATCTGTTGAAGGTGTGCGGTTGAAGCTTGAAGGAGTGCGGTTGAAGTTGTTTTAAGGTGTGCGACTCGGTGTGCGGCTAGCCTCGCTTGTGTTCGTGTCCTATATCCTCGCTTCGCAGCTCTCGTCCTCGCAGCAGCCCTTTCATGAAAAAATAGAAATCGCGAGTTGAGGGTGTCGGGGATCGAACCCAAGACCTCTAGTTCACAGCCTCACGCCTTAACCAACTCGTCTAGGAGGCTCCTTATGTCATTCTTCCGAAATTTAAAATATAACTCGTCCTTTTCGCATCTAATTTCGCAAATTGACAAATTCAACCAAAAATTCATTTTTTTTATTTTTAAATTCCATTTTCATCCGAAAAATTTTAGTTTTAAAGTTTAGACTTTATTTTTTAACTTTTGAGCTTAATATTTTGCTTTTGACTTTCAAGTTTGACCTTTGACTTTAATCTTTGACTTTTTCGTTTAAGTTTTAAAATTTCAAATTTAGCTTTTATGATTGAGTTTTAAGTTTGACTTTTCAAATTTGACTTTTTAAATTTGACTTTTAAGGTTGACTTTTGAGGTTTATTGTCAAAGGGCTTTTTTTTTATTTATAAAAATGAGTTCCTCATCCATTCCGGTACATGAAGTTTCATGTACTCCATCTTGTGTTAAAATTATGAAATTTTTACGAGAATCAATAGATCTAATCAAGAGAGAGAATGAGGACTTAAAATATGAAGAATACACACTTAGGAAAAACCAAAAGCCCTTAAAGACTCAATTAGAAAATAAAATAAAGGACTTTAGGAAATTACAAGAGGATTACAGCAACAAGTGTGAAAATTATGATTACATTAAGAAAAAACTTGCTGCTATAACTGAAGAACTTGACGCTTTGAAAATTAAGTGTGGAAAAACAAACATTAGTTTAAAAAATTACATTGCGTCAAGTAAGATAGTCGAGTCCTTATTTGAAAACCAATTAAAATTCAAAGATAATAAAAACAAGGGTTTAGGGCATGATTGTGTTCCTGCACCTTTCAATCATAACTACACATCCATCCCTATGACACATGAAGAAATTGACAAGGAGGCACATCTCCAATATGGGAAACCTGTTGCGGTTGTGCCAGAAAAGGATGAAGTGAACGTTTATAATGATTCTGTTACATGTGCAGGTAAAGTAGCAGAAAATGAGAACAAGGAGAAAACTATTGAACAATCCAATGACTCCTTGAACTCTGAATCAGTTGCTTCGAACTCAGTTGCTTCTGATCAACCTGCTGTTGAGAAATACAGGCCTCCAAAATAAGCGAAACAGACAGCTTCCTGTAAGTGTGCATGTGGGAACAACTAGAGACAAGGCAAGGATATGCCACCAGGGGCAGGAAGAAACAACTTCACAGTGAAGAAAAAGACATGTTTTCACTGTGGAACACCTGGAATCATTGCCAGAAATTGTCCTAATCGTGCATACGTTCCCTACTATGCACAAGGCTGGAAAAATGCGCAAAGTAGGAGATTTTACAAAAGAAATCCTTCGAGGTCACATTCAGACAATGGCGACTGGAATGCCACGAAGGGTAAGAGTTCTACTCCCAAGGTCAAGAAGTCCAATCCAAGAGATACTCCCGTGAAGCCAAAATAAAAGTCATCTCAACGGTCGACTTTAAGTTCAAAATCAAGTGCTGAGCCACCCATCAGATCGAAAAAGAAATGGGTTAAACCCAACTACAAATGGGTTCTGAAGGCTCAATCTCCCAAATCATGTAATGCTTCTAATAACTTTACATCTTCTGTTTGTGATAAACAATATATATCATGGGAGAGAGTATCATGCAGAGATGATAGAGGTCAACCCAGTTTCAAAATGGATTGGGTTCCAAAGACCAATTGATCCCGCTCTGTGTCGGAGCATCTATGGAGGCAAATCATCAGATTTCAGTTTGTTGATAATGGCTGTTCCAGGCACATGATAAGAGGTATCTCTCAACTGTGCAACACTAAGAACTTTGTTTGAGAGTATGTGTCCTTTGCAGGATAGGAAGAAAGGAAGGGATCATACATTAGGGTTTGTGCTTAACGATGTGAAGAATTTTCGGATCTGTTCTGAGTTTATGCATGGTGTTCTCAGACCTTCTGGATGGAAATTCAATTGGTGACTTACTGTTTGAGTTTTCTTCTCAATACTCCTGAGTTTATCTTACTCTGGTTCCTTTTAAAGACAATTCATCATTATCTTAATAGTTTTCGGTGTAATGATGTGTTGGGAAGTGATATCAACAAGTGATAACAAACAATTTGAATCTGTGTAAGGTACCAAAGCCGAATTGTCAAGGCTCTGTGTTCGATGCACTGGTAGGCATGAAGATTTTAACGAACTTGACTAGGTGCAGATGAGCTTAAGGAATCTAGAGAGTTGATAAATCTTGACCTAGGTAGTCCCGTTTAGCCTGACAATACGACGCTCGGATAGGTTGAGCAGGGAGATATACCTGAGAATCCACCAGTCACATTAAGAGAACCCATATCTAGAACTGTGGTTTAACTTTTCCTCGATGTACGGATTTTATCCTTAATTCCGGTATTGATGGAGTGACTAAGGAATTCCGATAAAGTAGGTCTGTAGAAAATTATTTTCTTTCTCTCTTACTGTTAGTCATATGTTGACTGCTCTGTGTGATCGAAAAGATCCGACCTGGAATGCAACATATGAAAATCTATCTCTCTGCATCTTATATCTATGAAATTCTTCATATCTGTTAGTCGTATGCTGTCTCCTTTGTGTGATTAACAATCCGACCTCGTATACAACATATGCAACCTTTTACTTCTCAATCCCTCTAAAACTATAATTAATCTTAATCTAA